ATTATCTTCATGAGTGGTTGATCTGCTACCTTTACTGTATTTTTGACTTTACCAGTGATTTTATTGCCTTGTTTTAAAAGTTGTGCTTTTTTGGTGAGGAAGATTGGCCCTGAGCTAACATCTGCTGTCAGTCTTCCTCTCTCTCTCCTTGTTTTTCTCCCCAAAGCCCTTGTACATAGTTGTGTATCCTAGTTGAAGGTCATTCTCGTTCTTCTCTGTGGGATGATGCCACAGCATGGCCTGATGAGCAGTGCTTAGGTCTGCGCCCATGATCGAGATCAGGGAACCCTGGTCTGCTGAAGCAGAGTGTGTGAACTTAACTACTTGACCATGGGGTCAGCTCCTTTTTTTTTTTTTTTTTTTTAATACTTTTTGTATTCCTCTTTGTGGTCTTCTCTTTCTAACTCAAATAAGCTCCTTTAGCATTCCTTTAAAACTGATTTCTTGGTGATAAACTCCTTTAATTTTTGCTTGTCCAGGAAACTCTTTATCTCTTCTTCCATTCTGAATGATAACTGCTGGGTAGCGTATTCTTGGTTTTAGGTTATTTCCTTTCACCACTTTAAATACATTGTTCCACTCCTTTCTAGCCTGTAAGGTTTCTGCTGATAAGTCACCTGATAGCCTTATGAAGTTTCCTTTGTATGTAATTTGTTACCTTTCTCTTGTGGTCTTTAGGGTTCTCTCTTTATCTTTAATTCTTGACATCTTAATTATAACGTGTCTTGGTATGGGCCTCTTTGGGTTTATCTTGTTTGGTGTTCTCTGTGCTTCCTGTACCTGGATGTCTATTTCTTTCCTTACGTTAGGAAAGTTTTCAGCTATTATTTTTTCAAATAGATTCTCTGTCCCTTTGTGTCTATCTTCTCCTGGGACACCTATAATATGAATGTTAGTGTGCTTGCTGTTGTCCCAGAGGTCCCTTAGACTGTTGTCATTCTTTTCAATTCTTTTTTTCTTTTTGGCTTGGTTGATTTCATGTAGTCTTTTCCAGCTTGCTGATCTATTCTTCTGTATCATCTACTCTGCTATTGAGTCCCTCTAGTGAATTTTTCATTTCCAGTATTGTATTCATTTCCGATTAGTTCTTTTTTATGTTTTCCAATTCTTTGTTGACGTTCTCATTGAGTTCATCCATTCTTCTCCCATGATCAGTGAGCAGCTTTATGACTTTTTGTTTGAACTCTTTGTCAGGTAGATTGTTTATTTCTGTTTCATTTAGTTCTTTTTCTGAGGTTTTGTTCTTTTCCCTGACTTGGAAAGTATTCCTTTGCCTCCTCACTTTGCTTCTTTCTCTGTGCTTTCTCAGAACTCCAATTGCATCTACTAGCATCTGTGTCAGCATGCCTGTACTAGGTCATAATAATGGCTGCTGCCAATGTCTCAAGCTCTAGAGAGGTCTCACATCTCCCTGAGATGCACCCAGAGCCTATCAGGTGAGTCCCTTTTCACCAAAGGACTGTGTGCCTTTCTTTGTAGTGATTTTAAGTTGCTTTCCAAAACAGGTAAATTCATGCATGGGTCCTTTAAGGGCTGGCTTTCTTCCCATTCTTTCCAAAAAAGCTTTTGTGGGGGTGTTCCCCATGGTGGTTAATAGCCAGCAAAGCCAGATAGTATGACACTTCTCTCAGTTGTGCTGAGTCCAAAGGATGCTTATAGTGGTAACACTCCTCCACTCAGGTCCCCCACTCCCCCAGGGAAGGCTGAGTACTTTAGGATTGCTCCCAGCTTGCTGTTACTTGCTGCAGCTTGGGAAGGTGGTTTTTTTTTCTCTCCAGAAATGAATTTCTGCCTCTTCCACCTCAGTCAGGACTGTTCCTTGTTGCAAGGGTACTTTTTATCCAGTTTTCAGTTCTCTCCCAGGGGTAATTGTTCCCAGAGTAGTTGTAAATTTGTTGTGTCCGTGGGAGGAGGTGAGTTCAGAGTCTGCCTACACTGCCATCTTCACCTCTCTCGTTTCATTATAATTTTGATTTTAATTTACCTAATGATCAGTGATGTTAAACATTTTTTCATGTGTTTATTGTCTATTTGTATATCTTCCTTCTAAAAGTTTATTCACTTCCTTTGCCCATTTTTGATTTGGGTTTTGTTTTCTTTGTTGCCGAGCTTTTGAAGTTTTCTGTATATCTTGGATTTTAATCCCTTCTATGATATGATTTGAAAATATTTTCTCCTATTCTGTGGCTTTCCTTTTTACTTTGTTGATATTGTCTTTTGACATTACAAAAGGGTTCCTGGACCTAATTCCAATGTGTGTGTGTCGAGGCTTCCCCACATTAACAAACAGTTTTTGGATGACAGCAGGTTGTCCAAGAGTTCAACTCAATTCTGACACTATCTACCCAGAGATAGAATCAGATTCCACAGGTAAAGGGCTGTGTCCCACAAGACTACCCCCAACTTCAGACACTAGTTGCAAGTCTCAGGTTGTGACCCGTACTTCTGACCAACTGGTTATAAATCAGAGGTTCCCCTGACCCCCTCTTTGGATTTGACTAATTTGCTAGAATGGCTCTCTGAACTCATGGAAACACTTACTTTTGTTTACCAGTTTATTAAAGGTTACGATAAAGGATACAGATGAACATCCAGATAGAAGAGATGTGTAGGGCAAGGTATGAGGGAAGGGATGCTGAGTTTTCATGCCTTCTCCAGGCAGACCACTCTCTCAGCACCTGCATGTGTTCACCAACCCAGAAGCTCTCCAAAAAAAAGCTGATAAGCTGTCCTTTTGGGTTTTTATGGAGGCTTAATTGTGTAGCGATTGACTAAGTCATTGGCCGTTGGCAATTGACTCAGCCTCAAGCACCCCTCCCCTCCCCAGGAATCAGAGAGTGGAACTGAAAGTTCCAGTCCCTTGATCACATGCCTGGTTCTCCTGACAACCAGTCCCTATCCCAGGATGGAGTCTCCTATTGCTCTTATCACTCAGGACATTCCAAGAGTTTTGGGAACTGTGAGCCAGGAACTGTGGATGAAGAATAAATACATCTGAGCAACATTCTATTTCAGTCATCTGAATGACCAAATATATATATTTCTTATAAATCACAATGTCACAGATGCACTACATTTTAAAAATTTTTGTGAAATCCAATTTACCTAATGTTTCTTTTGTTGTGTGTGCTTTTGGTATCATATCCAAGAAAACCTTGCCAAATCTAGTGACATGAAGCTTTTGCCCTATGTTTTCTTCTAAGAGTTTTATAATTTTAGCTCTTACATTTAGGTCTTTGATCTATTTTCAGTTTATTTTTGTATATTGTGTTAGGTAAGGGTCCAACTTTATTCTTTTGCATGTGTATATCCCGTTCTCCCAGTATCATTTGTTGAAAAGATTGTCCTTTCCCCATTGAATGGTCTAGGCACCCCCGTGTCAAAAATCATTTGACTATATATGTGAGGGTTTATTTCTGGGCTCTCTGTTTTATTCCATTTATCTATATCTGCCTTTATGCGAATATCACAGTTTTGATTACCATAGCTTTGTAGTAAGTTTTGAAATCAGGAAGTGTGAGCCCCCCAGCTTTCTTCTTTTTCAAGATTGATTTGTCTTTTCGGGTTCCTAGAGATTCCATTTGAATTTTAGGGTAGATTTTTCTATTTCTGCAAAAAATGTAATTGGGATTTTGATAGGGATTACATTGAATCTCTAGATTGCTTTGGATAATATTGACATCTTAACAATATTGGGTGTTCCAGTCAATGAACATGAGATGTGTTTCCTTTTTTTTGTGTGTTCTCTAATTTCTTTCAGGCATGTTTTGTAGTTTTCATTGTACAAGTCTTTCAACCTCCTTGGTTAAATTAATTCCTAAGTATTTGATTCTTTTTTATGCTGTTATACATGGAATTGCTTTCATAATTTCCTTTTCATACTGTTCATTGTTAGTGTATAGACATGCAACTGATTTTTATGTGTTGACTTTGAATCCTGTATTCTTGCTATGAATTCATTTATTAGCCCTAACAATTTTTTGTGGAATCTTCAGGATTTTGTATAGATAAGGTCATAACTTCTGCTAGTAGAGAAAATTTTACTTCTTCCTTGTCAATTTGGATGCCATTTATTTCTTTTCCTTGCCTAATTGCTCTTGCTGTAACTTTCAGTATTATGCTGCATAGAAGGGGAAAAAAATGGGCATCCTTTCTTGTTCCTGATCTTAGAGGAAAAGCCTTTAATCTTTTACCAATGAGTATGATGCTTGCTCTGGGTTTTTCACATATGGCTTTTACTATGTTGAGGTACAAAATAGAGTTTTCCTACTTCTTTGGATCTTTGTACTTTTCAAATTCTTCAAGTAAAGTAAAAAAAAAAAAAAAAAGAACTTGGGGGCCCGCTCCGTGGCTGCGTGGTTAAGTTCGCACACTCTGCTTTGGCTGCCCGGGGTTTTGTGGGTTCGGATCCTGGGTGTGGACATGGCACTGCTCATCAAACTTTGCTGACATGGCATCTCATGTGGCAGAACTAGAAGGACCTACAACTACAATATACAAGTATACACTGGGGAACTTTGGGGAGGGGAAGGAGAAGGGGAAGGGGAACGGGGAGAGAAAAGATTGGCAACAGATGTTAGCTCAGGTGCCAATCTTTAAAAAAAACTTATTAGATGTGTGTGTGCGTGTGCAAATATACATGTATACACATGCAAGATAAGCACATGTATGTCGTTTATATATCTATATATATGAATAAAATTGGTAGAGAAAATTACTTATTGAGGCTATTTTAGAAACATATTTGAAAATTACAGATGAATTGTTTCTTAACAAAACTATATTCCAACTATTTTTAGATGTTGCATCTATTGGCAGTATTAGTTGTATGCTTGTATAGTGTTTAAACTGTTGCAAATTGAGGTGAAGCATTTGGAAGTTAAAGAGTAGCAGTAGCCTATTTATATTTTTAATTTGACACTCTATGATAAGAAAACAAGTCAGTATGTTATATATGATGAGTTACTCTTCTAAAAGAAAGATTTTTTTTCTTATTTCAGGCAACCTAATGAGGCCCCTTTTGAATTATGGTGTTGCTTGGTGAGCATATCTTTTTTACTTATGTTGCTTTTCAGAATAATATTGACTAACTTATGTAAATTAGTTGTATTTTTGGTTTACTGTTACAGTATGTCTATGGGCTTCCTGGTTGAAGAGACTGCACCAGTTGTTTGGAGAGGCCTTATGGTAATGTCAGCCATTGAGAAACTATTGAGGCAGGTAAGAAAATTGCATTAAATATCCTTTTTTTATGGGCACACTGTGGTAAATGCATTTGCTGATTGGAGAGTTGTTAAAATTTGCATTCAGATTTGAGATATTTTACAAAAGAATCCAGTTGATAGACTGAACATATAATGAGTTATGTGGAGCCAAGACCAAATTTCACTCTTACATGATTTAGTCTTTCCCATTGCTTATGATTACTAAAAATCCTAATGTCTTATTTTATATTGTTCTGTTGCTCTGTGGAGTCTGCAGCAAGACAAGGAAATCTATTTTATAAGTAATCTGCTTTCTTTAGATTTATGGTTAATATCATTGTGGCCAATACTGAGTCATAAGGGCAGTGTAGAAATTCCTCTGATGTAGAAAAAACTTATATAAACCATGTTGCTTGTGATTTAAAATTGCTTCAGAACAAAATGAAACTTTGGTTTACTCTGAGTACATATGGGTATATGTTTATATATATATGTCCAATCAACTTTAATTTATCCTTAAAGAAGAGAACAGTTGATTGGATAATCTAAAAATATCAGGTGGGATATATGTTATTTATAGGAATAAATTTTAGTTTTTGCTTAGTAGCTGTGAATTTAGCATTAATTATGTTCTAGGTAAATATTATAAGTAATTTGGATTTTCTCTACCAACTTAGAGTGATTACCCCTTATTTATTCAGATTTTACTTTGGGTCAGGCACCATGTTAGAGGTTGACAGTTTTACTCATAGATATTTCAATATTCATTTCCAGAGAAAATGCATAGATGAAATGTCTTGAACTCTGAAACTCTTCTTTTTTCATTGTAACATCTTATGTTTCTTCTGCTGCTTCAGTTCTGATAAATGTGCTCTTTGATCTCTGGTCCCAGAATCTTTCTATTTTCCTAGTGCTTTTAAGTCTCTTGGTTGCATTTTCTACTCTTTTACACTCAGATCCCATAGTGGGTTATTTCAGTTATACTCCCAACAATACCCCTTCCCTACCAACTCCTTTGTGACCTTGACCTTTATTTGTGTGGATTAACACAGCCTCTTTTTGTTGACTTTTTTTTTTTTTTTTTAGGAAATTCTAAACTATCTTTGTTCAGTTTATAATTAAAGTTAGTTGGTAGAAATTTGGAAACACCAAAAGGAAAGTTCTGATCTTGCGAGAATATTTTAAATATTTGTTTTCCCGCTCCTATGTTAGTGTTATGATTCTGAAGAGGAAATGATTCAGATTCTTCCTGAGCCTTTATGAATGGCCACAAGAAGGTGGAAATACTTCCTCCTTCCACGTGATCCGAGACTTAGAGATCCAAGTCGGTGATAGGAGATCCAGAGGTCCTGGGTGAGCATCCGTGCTCCCAGCTCAGGGATGCAGGATCCCCATAGCCCATCCCCAGCAAGGTGTGTGCCTGTTCTCCTTCCTGTTCCTAAGTGTCCTTTTTGAATCTCAGGGACTCTTTTAAATCTCAAATTCCAACAGATGAGGAAAGCAGCCCTGCATTTGAGCCCCTGAGGGTGGAAGAGAGAGAGCGAGTGTGCACATGCCCTCAGGAGAGGCACAGAGCAAGTCTTCCACAAAATAAGGGAGATTAAACCAACTGTGGGAATTAATCAGTCTGCGAAAAGATTGCACCAGAAGCTCACTCTTAGATTTAGTACGTGCTTTTATAAATGAAGAAAACTTTTTGAAACCAGAGATGAAAAGATCAAAAGTCTAAAGGAGCTAGAATATATTATTTTTTTATTTTGTGGGACATTGGGAAGAGAGGAGCGATAGACTCCCCATTCCACATTCTCAGATGTCCTGCCATAACCCAGCCTCTTTTACCTACTGCTGAACGTTGTTGGAGGATATAGAATAAGTTTGTTAATTGCCAGCATTATACATTTTTGATTTCCAAATTCAGCCATGCTCTGAACACTTTAGGCATCTAATGTTATTCATTTTTTTTCTCAATGTTTATCAAATGCTCAGCTTAAAAAATATTTGGAGAATTTGGTAGTCTGGCAGAGGACCTAGTGGAGATTTGGAGATTTGGCTCTCTGACACATAAATTATATAAAAGTCAGTTTACTCTAATAAATGCTGAAGATATATTTTCAGCAAACATAGGACAAAATATCAGGGTGAAAGATGAGGTGAGAAAATGGATCCGTAACTTATTTTATTGGGATACTTAGAGGATACCTAGAATATCCTCTAGGATATGAGACTGCATATTTACCTTAGAGTCTTTTTGTAAAGTCACTTCTATTATTTGCACATTTTAATGGTAACTGAAAAGCAGATATTTTTGGACTACACTGTGACCCATGCCAACCACCTAAGCTGCTAATTAAGGAGTGGTTTGTTTTTATTTTCTGTTTTGCTTTAGAAAGCAGATGAGCATTTAACATCCTTTGTGAAAATTTAGTAGCTGGATAGATGCTCTCTACAGCAGTGGATTGTGGAGGGTACCTGATTCATTGGCAGATTTAAAAACAAGGGAGTGTAACTTAAATACTGAAGAGTGTAACAAATTGTAAGTGTACAGATAGATGGATTGTCTCAAAATGAAACAGCTATATAATCATCATTTGGGATAAGATAAATAGAATACCAGTATTCTAGCAGTTCTTCTTATGTCCCTTTCCAGTTGCTATTTTGGAGGAGAAGATGAATACTTACCAGTCTGCCATCTTGAACTGGAAGTTTGGTTTAAAGTTTTTTTCCCTCTTCCTTACAATATTTTGTTGAGTTAAACTTATACATACAGTGGGATGCACAGATCTTATATGTATAGGTCAATGATTTTTCATTAATGTAATGTATATATACCTATGTAACCATACGCTCGTGAAGATAGAGAACATTTTCATCCCCCTAGAAAGTTTCCTTGGCTACCTTCTGTTCAGTCCCCCACTGTAGGCCATCACTGTTGTCATTTCTATCACCATAAATGAGTTTTGCATGTTCTTATACTTCATGTAAATGGAACCCTACAGGATGTAGCCTTTTGTATCTGATTTCTTTCTCTTAGCCTAATGCTTTTGAAAGTCATCCTTGTTGCATATAAGCAGTTGAGTCCTTTTTATTGCTGAGTAGTATTCCACTGCATGAATATGACAAAGTATTGTTTGTTTATTTCTCTATTGATGGACATTTGGGTAGTCTACAGTTTTTGGCTGTTATGAATAATGCTACTATAGATACCTGTACAGATGTTCATGAGAGTTCCATTTGCTTCACATCTTTGTCAACATTTGGTGTTGTCAGTCTCTTAACTAGTGGGTGTAAAATGGTATCTTCTTATGGTTTTAATTTGTGCTTCCCTGGGAATCGATGTTGAGTCCCTTTTCATTTGCATATTAGATATTGTTGTATCTTCTTTTGTGAAGTGTCTGTTTAAATTGTTTACTCATTTTTTGGGAGGGGGGTTAATTTTTCTTCTTGTAACTGAGTTGCAAGAGTTTTAATATATTCTGGATGTAAGTCCATTGTCAGATATATGTCTTGGGACTATTACCCCCAGTCTTTGGCTTGCCTTTTGGTGAGCTGGTGTTTTAAATTTTCATAAAATCCGACTTATCAAGAAAAATTTTTTAATGCTTAGTGCTTTTTGTGCCCTCTCTCAGTCTTTGTCCGTCTACCCCAAGGTTGTAAAGCTATCCTTATGTATTTTTATCTCAAAGTTTTATAGTTCTGACTTATACATCTTGAATTAATTTTTGTGTGTGAAGTGAGATAAGGGTCAAGATTTTTATTTTTTCATGGTTGTGGTATAATAGGCAATATATTTGTTCTTTGTCCCCAGGTCCTGGCACAAAGCTCCTAAAACCCTTGGCATTTCCTGAGTGACAGGAATGTCTTTTACATTCATATTGAGCCCCTTTTTGAGCACATATGAGTTTATGCTAGTGAGGTACTTAGGGCGGGGCCCCTAGATAGCCTCAGCCTGAGGCTGGTCACCATAAAGACCAAGTGTTTGGAGGGTTGAAATTTTCAGCCCCACCCATTGACCTCTGGGAAGGGGAAGGGGAGTGGGCTGCAGATTAAGCTCTATAAAAACTCTTAACAAGGGTGCCATCAACATCATGGCAGAGTGAGTTGTTCCTTTTGTCTCTCCCCTCTAAGTTGCAACTAAATGGACATTTATTAAACAGCAGAGAATTCCCACAGGCACAACAGGACACCTGACAGATCCACCCAGCTGTGCATCTGAAGGTGGGTGGACTGGATTCCCAGGAGGCAGTGGAACTAGGTAAGTACCACCCTCCTGCCTGACACCAGTGAGCCAGGTTGTGGATCCTCACACAGCATCTGATGTGACTGAAAGAGGATGTGGGGACAGCTTGGCCTGCACATGAATGCTTTTGGAGGGGTAGCCCAGCCCGTGGGAACACGCACTGTGCTGTGGTGGCCCTGCTGAGGGAACTCTCTACACCAAGTGGCAGTGGCTCAGCCCCTACAAAGGCACCCACCCACTGAGCACAGTGCAAGTGAGAAGGCATTCTGCCTGCTCAGAAGGTGCTCTGTTTGCAAAGCACAGCAGCCCACAAGGCCCACCAAGTGGTGGCTCAGCCCCTGCATAGGTTTCCCTTCCACTTAGTGCACAGCAGCTGAGCCAGTCCCCTGTGGAGCACAGAAGCCCTTTCTATGGTGCTGACTAACCTCCCTGGTGCAGAGGCCCTGCCCACATAAATACAACCTGCAGAGTGGCTGGGGCTGGTCCAGGGAAATGCAGAGTAGCCCTACCTGCAAAACTTCCAGCAGACTGGGCAGGATCAGAAAACACAGCTTCTGCTCTCCTGCATTGGTGGCAGGTGGATTCAGTGACCTGATACTACCACAGATGTGCCAGCAAAGGATCAAGTCATCAAATAACATGAAGAACTACAGTAACGCTTCAGAGCGGAAAGAAAATGACAAGTCTCCAGAAACCAATCCTGAGGTCACAGAAATTTACAATCTAAGTGAAAGAGAATTCAAAATAGTTATCATAAAGAAATTCAAGGAGTTACAGTA